AATGTATTGGTCCAAGTGGTCTGCGACCACTAACTCTTCCAAATATTGCCTTAGTAGTGTGCAATTTTCAGTTCGGTGTCCCATCTCATCATGGAAGGTGCATTGATATCTATTGTTGTAGCCCCTTTATGTCTCTCCCAAGTTGGCTGGCCACCGAACGAAGGGTTCGTCGCGTATCTCGCTAAGAATCTGATAAATAGGCTTCTTAAATACCGTGGTGATGGTAGTGCGGACTCTCAACCTCCTTGTCTGAGAGTCCTCTCTATTCGGTCATCTGCCTCAACCATTTTTTCTCGGTCGTTTCTCTAGGCCGACCGTGTTAACTTTTGCTGCAGGTTTTTTGTCTAACATCGCTGTTGTGTCAGACTTTGCCTTGGTGCGAGCGCCATTTTTGTCTACCCTGATGTGTTAGTGCACTCTCTCTATTAGGGCTTCCATTGTGAGGGGTAACGCTATTTTCATTGAATCCCTCAATTTATGGCCCGCTTGCAAACCCTACTTATATTGTGCAATAGTTAGGTTGGTGGGGCAATCGCTTATTTGGTTGAAGGTCTCCCAATACCTGTTGTTGTACGCTTTCAACGTTTCTTTCTTGCCCATGTCAATGGCAAGCAGCTAGTCTATCTCGACCGGAGTTTTGGTGTTTGTTTTGAACCTGGTGACAAACGCTTTCGCCAGTTGTGCCCATGAAGCGATGCTACCTTTTTGCATCCTCTTAAACCAAGTAAAGCCTAGGTTTCCTAAGCTTGATGGAAACAAGATACACATTAAAGCCTCGTTTCGTCGTTGTATGGCCATAACCTGGCGAAAGTGGCTCCAGTACATATAGGGGTCTGACTTCTGTTTATAAGTTGTGAACTTAGGCTACTAGAAGCCCAAGGGTAATGGTGCGTTCTCTATCGCCGGAATGAACGACAAGCTTTGCAACCTTGTTAACGTTTTTGTCTGCTGGTTCGTAAGCATGTCATGGCATTGGCATTCCAACCTTTACACTTCCATGTGTCTGAGAAGCCAGCTGTTGTAGAGTAGAGACCCTTTCTTGTCACGTACCTAGGTGTCTTTTCTCCTTTGAGCCTTTTCTTCTAGCACGGTCTGCAGGTCTACTAACCTAGGCAACTAGGTGTGCTCAGAAGTTGTTTGATGATTATGTGAGGGTTGATAATTGCTTCCCTCCATGTAAAACCATTCAGTCCTTGTTCTCTCAGACCTGGAGTAACGAGTCCTGGAGGTTCTTGATTACGTTTCACCTGTCCTGAGGTTTCTTCTTTCAGATTACGATGGTGTGACCCATTTGTCGCGATCCCTTGAGTGGCGAGAACACGTTCTTCCTTCGCGGATCTCTTCTCCTTCCACCCATTTGCCTTTCATCTAGAGCTTTATGATCTCCATGTCAATCGCCATCCTCCTTATCAATTCATCTTGCTCCTTCACGCGATCCTCCAGAACCTGAGAATCCACCCTCCGTCTTTGTCCATCTGGGCTTTAAGAGCGATGAGGGCTTGAGCCCCATTTCTCTCGTAAGCCTTTTCGTGGGTTCCGTCGCTGGGGATCTAATTTTACCATGGGCGGGACAAAAGGCGAATTGTCGCGCCTCATATCCCCTTCTGGAGTTTGTCCATCAATAGCAAAATGAGACAAGTCTTCGTTTTGCGCCATTGAACTTAATTGAAGTAAATCTCAATCAAAAGGTTTGTTTTCTGTGATAGCTTCCCACAGACCACGCCAATTGTACGAGCACAGAATAATTTTCTTGTATAATCCTGTTGACCAAGTTTGTATTCCTTCAAACGTCGTCGCTTTGCTACCTGAAAACACAAATGTAAGCTAGCCGGCGGGTGTGTGCTAGAAATCCCTCTGATGCCTAAGTCAGCAAATAGAAAATAGACAATAAGCTCTGTGTATTTGAGACTAAGAATTGCAATACCTGTCCATAGATTTTGTCATGAGCTTTTATAAATTCCGCCAGGCACATTCCTAGTAGGACTCTAATTCTCCTTAGTAGAGTCCTCCTAGGAATTCTAATCCTAAAAGATAATACTTATCCTTGGAACACCCTCCTCACTGTAAGCCAAGTGGGATGGCAACAACTAGCCTGGTTTGTAAGTGTTCGACCGAACTATCATGCTTCGGTTTATTCCTAATTGCACCGCGAGTTCGTCTTCTACATAAGTTGTGCCGATCTAAGGGTAGCTCGGTCCCCTCCACCTATCAAGTCGTTAGCGACCTAGGTCCAACCCTTTGGTCAGCCTACCGTACAATCTGCTCAAAATCGAGCTGCCTTCATCGGCCCACTGCTCGACCCAACCACCATCGAGCGTGTAATTCATCTCGGCCAATTTAATCACACAAATTATCCTCTCAGATAATTTTGTTTGCATACTTTGGTTTGTTAATAGTTTGTGAGTAGATTTTGATACCAAACACAGTTTTAAGTATTAGATTTCAGATCATGGGTATTTTTTTTATTTTTTTTATGATTTTGGTTTGCGCCTCTTTATTGTTGTGTATGTGTTTTGGTTTTTGAAGTTCTAATGTTTTTGATCATGTAAGAACTGGCAGAGTTAATCTTATGATTAGCAAATTGTTGTTGTTGTTGTTGTTGTTTTTTGTTGCTAGACTCTTGTATTTGCAAGTGTTTTTGTCATAACTGAACTGAAATTGATTTGAAAAATCAATTTCAATTTATGGGTATATGTTTTTTTTATTTATTGTGAAAGCTATGTGAGAGAGTGATTTAGTGGTGGTTGGCGGTGGGCATCGGTAAGAGGGGGAGGCGTTGGGGAGAGAGAGTGTTGTTTACCATTTTAGAGGAAAGAGAATTGAGAGAGAGCTTTGTTTACCGTTTGATTGGAAAGAGGAAAGAGTAATTATTAAGAGGTAATGTTAGGGATATTAATTTTTTTATCAAATAAATGATCAAATGACTCACATGAATGTGGGATCTACACTTTTTGCTCTGTTATTTTTGAATCCAAACTCATAATCAAAATCTTTTTTTTTCTTTCTCGTCTCTTCTTCCTTCCCCTTCTTTCTCTTGTTTTAATGTCTAATTGGGTGCTTAGAAAATTGTTAGGGGGAAAGTTTTGAATTTGTTTTCATTTATTTACCTACAATGTTTACCAAACAAAATGTGAAATCAATTAGCTTTTAAATGTTTGATCTTGCGCATTGTTTGGTGTAAAATTCTCATCTGTCTACTCTTTCTCTCTCTCTCTGTCTCTCTCTTTTGTTTTTTGTTTTGTCTCATAAAACTAGTCGGCCGGCCATAAAACCATTTGGTCGACCCAAAAAAAAAAAACACTGATCGGCCAAACAATACACCCAGTTGTCTAGAAAGAAGAGAAATGAGGTGGGCCATCTTTCACCTCAAACTATCAAAACCAAAAACTCTCAAATTCATCAATGGATTCTCTCTCTCCCAAACCTCCTATGCTTTAGAAAGGTAAGGCCTTGGAATTGAAGGTTCATCAAAAGTGTTACTACTACTAGTCTCTTTTACTTGTTCTTCACCATCATCTTTCTTGGCCAATCTTTGTAATGCAGGAATAATCTCAACCAAACTTGAGTTCACATCTTCTTCTGAGAACACAAAACCTAGATCCATTAACCCTTTTAGCTCCTCAAACTTAAGGCTTGACAAGCATTTCGTCATACCCTTATTTGTTCTTCTCCTCATGCTTTTGATTTTCTTGGGTTACTTTTTGCTTTATTGTTGGCTCATATTCTTTTATAGCTTCAAATCCTAAGAGGATGGTCTAGAGATTAGGTGAGGAGGAAATGATAGAGTATGGAGAGAGAGAGAATCAGAACTGAAGCTTCCAGTGGTGCTCATCAATTGGTCACTTTAATAGAGGGAAGTTTAACAGAGACGAGAGGGATGAGAGAGATCTAGCATGAGACGGATTTGAGGACTTGATGGAAAATGACAGCAACCAATTAAAGTCTATAAAAGGCGTGGATCCAATGGTTCTAAGGCCTAAGCCTTAATCTGGTATATGCTAGATAATGTGGGGCCTATTTGGGAGATTAACTAGACTTGGGATTTATTTAAAAGGGTCTTTTGAGTTTCTCAGGTCAAATGTCTTTAAATTTCTAGTTAAGGTCTTTGGGTTATTTAGTTGGTCAAAGAATCTTCTAGTGTCTTTCACATGATTAATGCATTAAAGAGTCCTAGAGAGTCTAAGTTAGTCCTGTCATTTAATTTTGGAAGTTTTAGAGTCAAGATGAAGTTAGTATAAATTATATTATAAGTCTTGTGGCAAATTATGGATTGAATGAATGAAAATTAAGCTTATGCTTCTATGATTGTGCGATGCAATCTTTCTCTAGTGTGATGCTAAAGAGCCCCTTGGTGTGATGCCTTGGGTTTTCTAGGTGTGATATCTTGATCTATCCTTCTTTAACCCTTCCTCTACTTCCTACAAATCACTGTTCACGTCTACTGTTCATATATGTTGTTCACAGCCCCAAAAACAGCCTTGTTTTTTGTGTTTTTGCTCATACTTAGGCCTATTTTGAATCTGTCCTACATCAGGACTGAGAGAGATGAGGAAACAGAGGTGAGTGAGAGTATTTTTTGTGTTTGAATGCTTTTTTGTTTCCAAGAATAGAGATAGAAAGGAGAGGAAATGAAAGGAAAGGAAACAGATAGAAAAGAGAGAAAATTTTCAGGCCAATTGAGTATCAGCCTATTCGAGCTACGTAGCATTTTTGTTATTTTTGATACCATGATTCATTTATAATTTTATTTTATTAGTTATAATTTTTAATTAGAGTCTTTCCATTTATTTACAATTTCCATGCATCATTTGGGAAAAAGGTTTGTAGGCTTTTTTTGGCTATTTTAGTCACAAAAGACAAAATAAGCTATTTTAGTTACAACCAACAAAACATTACGTCCAACCCATAATCATTATACTCTTTTCTCACAAAAAAAAAAAAAAAAAATCAAAAAAATCAAAAAATCAAAAAATCCTTCATAAACTAAACTTTTTAACCAAAAAAAAATTAAAAAACCAACCCCCTCCCAAACCAATCCCTCTCAAAAACTCTGAACTTTTTTGTGTACATTATCGTTTCAATACCTCTGAAAATTTCATACGCGGTCATTGCACTTCACAGACTTTCAAATTGTTGTCAAGGTAACCATGTCTTTCAATCGGGTCTTCTCAATTTCTTTCAAATTTTCTACTCTGTTTGGTTGCCCAGAAAATAGAATGTGAAAAATGGCGGAACGAATCCATCTATTAGGTCCTAATAATGTAACCTAAAAGTTGGTTGCCTATACTTTCTGAGCATCCAAACAGAGCCATTTTGGAGTGCTTTTTATGGTTTATGTTTGATTGAATAGGTTAAGAAATGCCGGACGTTGAGGGCCTTGTGAATGAATTCGTTGTAAAGCTTGAAAACCGGTGAGCAAATTTGTGGAATTATTGTCTAAAATTGAAGTTTTTGAACTTGAATTCTGATTTGATTGATTGGTTTTGTGTGATATTGTGGTTTAATTTTGTGGTGGCAGTAAGGTAGAGGGATCTTATGCCACTGCTCGATTAACGGCAGAGTTGCTTCGTTCAGTGATTTCGCAGCAGAGGGTTCCATCTACAAACCAGGCTGCCACACTCATTGAGGCAGTGAGGGTTGTAGGAGACAAATTAACTGCCGCAAACCCTGTTGGTATGCATTCCAATCAATTTCTGTAGCTTTGACTATTTTATTCATACTTGCTTAATTATTGTGTTAGGGCTGTGGATGGGGAGAATCTCTAGTGGAAATTGTAATTATTTGGCTCTTTTATATTGAATACCCAAAAACAAACAAAATTAGAAAAAACAGGCTCAAAGAACCTCACCAAGACAAGAATTGAACAGAAACCACCTATTACAAACAATCAAGACTTCAGAATCTTTATAGAAATTCCCCATAGTATACAAAGATGCATATTCATTTGTGTATCTTCAACTTTTCTCTAAGAACACAACCTACTTCTAACATTAGTAACAATTCTACCCAAATGGCCCCAATTTTTTTAGGGGAAATATTAGTTCAGTGTATGTTTTCAAACACACAAAAAAATCCTTAATCCTTAATCCCATTTGAAATTCATAAAATTTACCCATTTGAATATTTAGCGTGCTGAAAAATCCTTAATCCCTTTTGTATATTTCACATTCTCTCTCATGTCTTTCGTACTCTTATTTTTGTCTTTTTCATTCGGTCTTTGTTTCTTTGTCTATACCAATTTTGATCAACAATCATGAAGCTGGTTTATGTTATATGGACTCTTAAAAATATATTGAATAGCCGTGTCAAACACCCAACACTTAGACAAGAGTTTGGGATGTGTCCGATCCGATACTTTCCATCGAACACTTTTTATATATTTATATTTAACACTATCATTTATGTATATATTGTTTTATAATTGTTATACAATGGGTAAAATACCTCTTTGATATTGTATGTTACATATAATATCATTTTATCTCATATAATATATTAAAAATATAAAATATGACTTTTTTTGCCGAGTGCATGTACTCTTAAATTTGAAGTTTAATGAGTCTGACTTTTAAATACACACCCGCACCCAACATTCGTACTCGACTTTTAGTCGTTTTTCTTTCCTTGTATTTTTGCATCGCCTTGCTGCTTTTCTAATGAAGTTTGATTATTTATCAACATAATAATAATAATAATAATAATAATAATTATTATTATTATTATTACATGTTCAAATTAGTTTTGATGGAGTATTAGAGTGCATAACTTGGACTAGAGTTTTGCAGCCAGTTGATATCAATTCTTTTCTTTTTATTTAGGAGATAAGTTATACTCTCTTTTAGTACCTTTTTATGTGAAAATTTAGAACTTTATGTCCATTTTACATGCATTTTGGAAACACAATAGTTTGTAGCATGTGGAGGGGAGACCCCCTTTTGTATGAGAGTAGGGACATGGAGGCTAGTTCACTCTCGTGGGTTGTGCTGAGTAGGTGTGATACACCTTACGAGTTAGCAATGAGGAAGTATGATACACTCTCCAAGATATCATATCATATGACTTGGTCAATATGTGTCTTTGTGTAGAGGCCTCTCTCATGTTTGAGACTAGTAAAAGTGGAGCCACTCGGGCAAGGTGAGTAAGGCAACTTTGATGATCCCTTAGTTCAAGCCACCATTGCGTAAGTCCCTAGTGATCCTGCACAAGGTCATGAGTTGCTCGACTATCCCTATAACTAAGGCACCGATCTCGAGGAGGTCCCGCTGAGAGGGTGAGGCTCTTAGTTGCATGTGTGAGAATGTGTTCTTCTTTGTGTTCTCCTTTTTCCTTATACGATTAGGAATTAGTGTTCTATATCTATTAGACTTCTATATGTCAGTGATGTATTCATGTCGGATTAGGAATTAGTGATGCTCTATATAAATGATGTATTCTTTGTTCAATCAATTCAATCTAATATATAGTTTCATTCAGAAACCTTACATGGTATCAGAGCCAACTCAGAGTCAGCAGATAGCAAACGACTTCTAGGGTTTGGCTCGTAGTTCTTCCCTTTGTTTCGTGACTGGTTCTCCATCGCGACTGGGTCTCTGTCGCCTTTGATCCGTGGTTCTGTGTGAGTCGTCTCTAGCATCTCTTTGCATCGCTAGATCGTGGTTCTTCTCCTCTGATTCGTGACTCGCATTCTCTTGCGAGAGTCTGCTTTGGTTTGCTGTCTCTCTCTGTCTCATTGGTTCTCCTTAGGGCTTCGACATCATCATCGAGCTCTCTGGTTATCTTTTTCTCTCTCGCTCTCTCTCTCGTATTGAGCTCTCTTGTTAACTCTCTCTCTCTCTCTCTCTCTCTCTCTCTCTAGTATTGTTATTGGTATCTAAGTATTTGAACTAGCTGTGTTAACTTTAGAATTATTACAATTTGACCCCTCTAATTAAATTTATTTTATACTTGGACATCATAAACTTTGCTTTATTACAATGTCGGATACTAAAATCCAAGCCATCAAATGCAAACTCACTGGTGGCAATTATGTCTATTGGACTAGTGTTATGAAGAATTTTATTCTTGGTCAGAAAAAATGGGACTATGTTTATGTTTCTGGTTCTGTTCCTTGTCCATCGGACCCAAAGGCGGAAGAGTATCTGACTTCCTGTGACACTTGGGATTGTGATAATGCCCAAGTTCTAGCTTGGTTTCATAATTCTGTGGATGACCGTATTGGAATGATGTTTTCTAAGTACAATATTGCCAAGGAGGTGTGGGAATATTTGCTAGGTGTTTATCAGTAGTCCAACTTTGCCAAGCGGTATAAGTTGGAAACAACTATTCAGAGTGCTTGTCAGCGGGATTAGACTATTCAGGTTCTATATTGAGATGACAGGTCTCTGGGATCAATTGGCTCTTATGGAACCACCTAGTCTCAAGATACTGGATGCTTATCTTGAGTTTCGAGAGTAGGGTCGTTTAGTGCAGTTCTTAACGGTTCTCTCCCCTCAGTATGAGGCTATTCGAGGTGGCATCCTTCACCGATCTCCTCTTTCTTCTATGGATGCTATTGTTCGTGAGCTCCTCTCCGAGGAAACCCGTCTTAAGACGGCTAGTCAAACTCTGCCTCTTTTTGTCTTGGCTCCTGCCAAGCCTTTCTTGTTATCGAGCCCACATCGTTATCAGCTTTAGGCCACTGCGAACCCAAGAAAGGACCATTAGGGCCAGATGAGTGTGTTTTCTGCTGAGTTGGCTCTGGTTCGTAGTTCTTTCCTCTGTTTTGTGACTGGTTCTCCCTCACGACTGGGTCTCTGTCGCCTTTGATTCGTGGTTCAGTGTGAGTCGTCTCTGGTGCATCTCTATGCATCGCTGGATCGTGGTTCTTCTCCTCTGATTCGTGACTCGCATTCTCTTGCGAGAGTCTGCTTTGGTTCGCTGTCTCTCTCTGTCTCACTGGTTCTCCTTAGGGCTTCGACATCATCATCGAGCTCTCTGGTTATCTTTTTCTCTCTCGCTCTCTCTCTCGTATTGAGCTCTCTTGTTAACTCTCTCTCTCTCTCTCTCTAGTATTGTTATTGGTATCTAAGTATTTGACCTAACTGTGTTAACTTTAGAATTATTACAATTTGACCCCTCTGATCAAATTTATTTTATACTTGGACACCATAAACTTTGCTTTATTACAATGTCGGATACTAAAATCCAAGCCATCAAATGCAAACTCACTGGTGGCAATTATGTTTATTGGACTAGTGTTATGAAGAATTTTATTCTTGGTCAGAAAAAATGGGACTATGTTTATGTTTATGTTTCTGGTTCTGGTTCTGTTCCTTGTCCATCGGACTCAAAGGCGGAAGAGTATCTTACTTCCTGTGACGCTTGGGATTGTGATAATGCCCAAGTTCTAGCCTGGTTTCATAATTCTGTGGATGACCGTATTGGAATGATGTTTTCTAAGTACAATATTACCAAGGAGGTGTGGGAATATTTGCTAGGTGTTTATCAGCAGTCCAACTTTGCCAAGCGGTATAAGTTGGAAACAGCTATTCAGAGTGCTTGTCAGCGGGATTAGACTATTCAGGACTTCTATATTGAGATGACAGGTCTCTGGGATCAATTGGCTCTTATGGAACCACCTAGTCTCAAGATACTGGATGCTTATCTTGAGTTTCGGGAGCAGGGTCGTTTAGTGCAGTTCTTAACGGCTCTCTCCTCTCAGTATGAGGCTATCCGAGGTGGCATCCTTCACCGATCTCCTCTTTCTTCTATGGATGCTATTTTTCGTGAGCTCCTCTCTGAGGAAACCCGTCTTAAGATGGCTAGTCAAACTCTGCCTCTTTCTGTCTTGGCTCCTGCCAAGCCTTTCTTGTTATCGACCCCACATCCTTATCAGCTTTAGGCCACTGCGAACCCAAGAAAGGACCATTAGGGCCAGATGAGTGTGTTTTCTGCCATCAGAGGGGTCATTGGAAGAACAACTATCCCAAGAAGGGACGTCAGCCTGCTCTGTCTTCTCAGACATAGTTCCGCGGTCCTACCTCGGGTACTTTCCGACCGCCTGCCGCTTATACTACATCTACTTCGGCTCCCGATCCTGACTTGGCTTCCTTTAGTGCTCAGGTTGCACAACTTCAGCATATTCTTTCTGTCTCTCAGCCATCCCTATCTGCCTCCCCTCTTACCTCTCTTCATTCAGGTTTGCTTGGGTTCTCTTTAGGTATCCCTTCTTTTGTCTGGCTTTTTGATTCTGGTGCCTCTCATCATACGACTCCTCACATTTCCTTACTTCAAAACTGTATTCTCCTACCCGTTCCTATTACTATTAATACTGTTAATGGGTCTGGTATGTCTGTTATATTTATTGGGTCTGTCTTACCCTCTGCCATGTTTGCTGTTACTATTCCTTCTGTTATTTATGTCCCTCAGTTATCTGTCAGTTTATTATCTATCAGTCAACTTGATGCGTTTGGTTTTGATGTTATCTTTTTCTCTTCTGTTTGTTGTGTGTACGATCGGCTGTCCAAGAAGCAGATTGGGACCGGCCGTAGAGTTGGAGATCTCTATGTGGTTGAAAGCTTGCATCTTCCCTTAACCATCTCTCCAGCTGCGCTTTTTTCGTTTCAGTTAGATTCTCAGTCAAGTCAGTTTTACTTATGGCATTCTCGCCTCGGTCATTTGTCTGTTGACCGCCTAAGGTCTTTAGCTCAGTCAGGGTTGTTTGGTGGCCAAAGGTTTCTCCCAGGAGTATGGTATTGATTATGAGGAGACATTTGCTCCTGTTACCAAGATGACTATTGTCTATACTTTAATATCTGTTGCTACTGTTTGTTCTTGGCCTCTTTATTAGATGGATGTTAAGAATGCTTTTCTTAATGGCCATCTCACTGAGGAGGTTTACATACGTCCTTCCCCTGGTCTTCACCATTCCTCTAGCCAGGTTTGTCGTCTTCGGCATGCTCTGTATGGTCTGAAGTAGTCTCCTTGTGCTTGGTATGATCGCTTTCAGACTGCTGTTATTGTGCTTGGGTTTCATCCTTCTGTTTCCGACTCTACTTTATTTCAAAGACATACCTCGGCTAGTTTTGTTGCTCTCTTACTATATGTGGATGATATGATCATCACTGGCTTTGACTTTTCTGTTATCTCTGAGGTCAAGTAACATCTTTTCCGCACCTTCGAAATGAATGGGACCATTGCCGTATTTTCTTGGTATTGAGGTGGCTTCTTCTCCCGATGGTTACTTTCTGTCCCAGGCTAAGTATGCCAACGAGGTTATCCATCGTGCCGGACTTACTGATACTAAGCTTTCTGATACCCCCATTGAGCTTAATGTAAAGCTTAACATTACTGATGGTGTTCCTCTAGACGATCCTACGTTATATCGCGAGCTTGTGGGTTGCTTAGTCTATTTGATAGTTACTCACCCTGATCTTGCCTATGCTGTCCATGTGGTTAGTCAGTTTGTTTCTGCCCCTCACTCTACACATTGGGCTGCTTTGTTTTGGATTCTTCGATATCTTCGCAGTACTATCTTCCAGGGCTTACTATTCTCTTCTACTTCTTCCTTAGACTTGGTGGCTTATGCTGATACTGATTGAGCTGGTGATGTTAATGATCGTAAATCTACTTCTGGTTTCTGTATGTTTCTTGGCGATTCCTTGATTTCTTGAAAAAGCAAGAAACAAATTGTTGTTACCCATTCTACTGCCGAAGCTGAATATCGTGCTATGGCTCATGTTACTGCTGAAATTGTCTGGCTTCGTGGTCTCTTGTCTAACTTGGGCGTCCCTCAGTCTTTCCTGACTTCTCTCTATTGTGATAACCGAAGTGCTATTCAAATTGTTCATAACACTGTCTTTCATGAACGGACAAAACATATTGAGATTGATTGTCACTTCGTCCATCAGCATCTACAGTTTGGCTTTATCTCGCTTCCTTTGTCTCTTCGGCTTTGCAATTTGCTAATTTCTTTACCAAGACTCACACCACTACTCGATTTCGGTTTTTTCTTGATAAACTCTCAATATTTTCTGCTAAAACACCTTGAGTTTGAGCGGGGGTGTGAGAATGTGTTCTCCTTTTTCCTTATAGGATTAGGAATTAGTGTCTTATATCTATTAGACTTCTATATGTCGGTGATGTATTCATGCAGGATTAGGAATTAGTGATGCTCTATATAAATGATGTATTCTTTGTTCAATCAATTTAATCTAATATGTATTTTCATTCAGAAAACTTACAGCATGAAGCGGGAGTGGGAAAATGTGGCCACTTAGAGGAGTCGTAGATTAGGAGCGCTTATGGAGTCATAATGGAATGATATTATTATATATAATTTAATTAGATTTCTTTTAAACAATTAGATGATTTATTTTATTTATTATATGTTAAAAAGTTAAGAAATAATAATTTACAAAAATTATTATTATATATGATATTTTAAGAAATAACAATTAAATATTTTATTATATATGATATAATTTATAATTTATAAATTTTATTATATATATATTATATGATAAATTATATTATATATGATCAATTATATTATATAAAGTAAATTATATTAAAATAGAAAGAGAGAGAGAGAGGAGAGAGAGAGAGAAAAGACGAAGATGTTCGAAGAGAGAAAAAGAACAAGAGACAGAGAGATCGAGAAGAAAAGAGATAGAAAACTAGAGGCAGAGAGAGAAGAAGATCGAAAGAGAGAGAGAGAAAGAACGAGAGACAGAGAGATCGAGAAGAAAAGAGAGAGAAAACGAGAGGCAGAGAGAGAAGAAGATCGAGAGACAGAGAGATCGAGAGAGAGAAGATACAGAGATCAAGATCGAGAGCTCGAGATCTTGATTGCTTCCTTCTTGCATCAAATTCACGTTTCTCACTCCTCAAACTCGCGATTCTTCTCCGATTCTTCCTCAGAAGCGCAATATCGCGCTTCTTCCTTAGATTCGTGAGTATCATTCACGATTCTTGCTACTAAGGTGAGGCTAGGCGCTTGGTGTTGAGTCAGTAGTCGTTGAGCATTGGTAGTGAGGTGATCAAGTTGCAAAGTGAGGATAATGAGAAGAACATATGGTTGTGGAGTTGGGAGTGGTGTATAGCACTTGCGTGAGTGGAGGCTCAAGCCAATGTGAAGTTCTTGGGTGAGCACCTTTTGAGACAAAGCTTTTGCCTTGAGGATTTGGGGTCCACTCCATAGTGGTGGTACGGCTAGTCTAAGGTATTCAGATACCTATAGGGAGTTGTTGATTACTAAGGTGTTATAATTAGTAGATGTAATATGGATGTTCTAGTTATCTTAATTGTTCAGTGGTTTATTTTAGGATGGTATGCGGACAAACCTCCAAATGAAGGTTTTTGTTATTAATGTTCTTGATACTCATGCTAAATATCGGGTCATTGTTCTCTTGAGTACTCATGGAGTCATGGTAGCTTCCTTTTTTATGTTTATTGGTCAATGCCAATATTTATTTTTTTGGTTTATCTGGATGGTTTCTTGTTTACTGAATATAATTGTACCTAAGGAAGGATTCGGGACACTTTTCACTCCCTCTCTCTTTGTATGTATACACAATAACATGATTTAATGTGAAAGAAAATGTTTAAAAATATATTTGTATTGGTAAATATAAATTCAAAAACATTAACAAACAATGGCTTTGTTGGTTTGAGCATTAGTGAGGACAAGTCTGAAGTTGTGAGTTCAAGTATTTGCAAATATATATGTTAGTATATATATAAGAAGTTCCTTCTAGGACTTGGACTCCTAACGTCATACTCATCTCCAAACCACTCAAATCAATTGAGCTATAGGTTGGTGTTTTCAAATACCCAGATATTACATAATAGTTGAACCCATAGCCTTAGTCCCATCCTAACACCACTCTAGCCTATTAAGATACATATCATTGTATGTATCTATGCATATATGTATAAACATATAGGTTTCGAAAACTAAGGAATTTCAGAATTATACAGATCTATTATATAATCCTGAGAAATGAGATTATTTGCGTGCACAGATGAGAGTCAGGTTCAATGCTCTCCAGGTATCACTGCTGACTGGAAGTAATACGAATATGCTTTCCTATAGATATTTATACATAAATGGCACACACATTTTGATGTTTTTTAGCCATGCATACATAATGTACACACTAGCAATACACTCTGGCCAATGTGCAGGGTTTTAAAATTTAAAAACATAAACAAAAATTGGATCCCACATAGTTGTCCAGATTTAGTTTCCTACGTGGTATTTTTTTAGGCCCCCTGATCTTGAGCAATACATGTGGCTTCGAGATGGTAACTGTAGCACTGCTATAATAGCCACAACCATGACTATTGTGAGTCTTAGTTGTTTTTCGCCCTCTATAATTAGCAAAATAATTGTTAGTTGCAACTAATATAGATCTTTTTAAGCTTATAGGTCAATTTCTGGGGAAAAAAAAAAAAAAAAAATCTATCTAATTGTAAGTATTTATAATGACAAAGCCATATGGATGGAACTGCAGAGCTTGCTGTTGGGAATATTGTGAGGCGTGTTCTGCATATTATAAGGGAGGAGGAACTTTTGCTTTTGACAAAGGACGTTGGAGGTTTAAAGTTAATAGTTGGTAGTGATGATGAAGACACTGCTGAAGGAGATTATAACCATGTTGCATCTGCAGCTGCCGTTGCTGCTTCTAGAAACTCTCTGCTTCGACCTTCATTGCATACTCTTCTGGAGAACATTCAAAACTCAACATTAGCTTGCCAGAATTCTTCTGGGGGTGATTCTGAAGAAAAAAGCAAATGTATTGTTTGGTTCTTATCTTATTAAAAAATTTGAAATAAAAGGGTCTGTGGAACAATATTGAACGGTATTTAGTCTCTATTCATCTATTTATTTAAATTTAAATTATTTTTTATTCTTTATAACAGCTGATAAAAATTCGAGCCGCCGAAAAGTAAAGCACAATGTCATCGAGGCAGTTAATATACTAATTGAAGATATTGATGCTTGCCATGAACTAATTGCCGAGCAAGCAGTGGAGCATATTCATCAGAAGTACTATTTTTCACCTAGGATAAGCTTATTTTCAGTCTTGAACTTGTTTTATATGCTGAAATTTATGTTAAAAAAGGTTTTCCTTCTGCTAATGTTTACTTGGATAACTACTTAGAACATGTATATATGCATGCCATCAATGCATTTGGTCTGTGCTGACACACCTGTTGTTCATAAGAATTTTATGTTGGCAATTGTATTAAATCAAGTTAACAAGACTGTTCATTGTGTTATCGCCCTCTATGATGTGCTTGGTTTTGATCAATCATGATTATTGTTGCAATTTGTGTGGAAGCTTTTAGTAATTTATTTGTCAGAAGATTAGGACTTGATGGCATCCAATTAGTTTTTGAATATTGCACCTACATTTACAGAACCATGATGCTGATTCTCTGACGCTAACCTAGGTTAGGAGCAAGGCCTACAAACCCCTTCAAGTTTGGTGTTGTGGTTGTGGGCTGCCATGCGCTACCTTGTGACCTACATGCAGCACCTCTCTAGGTTCATATGACTCAATGGCTAGGTTTAGGGTTTGAAATTATCAATATTTCCTAAGGAGGTATTAAGACATAAATAATTGCTTCTTTTCACTTTAATGTTTGGCTTACATTTTATTTTCTCCAAAATTGTTATAAAAATAGTCTCAGGAGTCTTGGCTATAGACATACATCCCATGTGTGTACAAATGTGTCCAGTTTATAAAGTTTTGAAAAAGTGACATGTAGATATGTGTCCAACACTGTCGGCGTGTTCAAATGAGTTTGATACTTGTTGAACAAGGACATGGACATGACATCTCAATAGGTGTGCGTTGCTTCTATCTGAAAAATATATGAAATATTTATTGGACATGGAGATTTTTGCTTGATTCGACGCCTTTATTTCAGCACTTCCTATTTGGATTTTCGTGAATGTTTTTAATTTTTATCTAAATCATGTACTCAGCAGTTAATAGAACTTTTATTATGTACTTTTCTAATACATATATTTTTCTTGGCAGTTTCGCCTGTTTTAACTCTTGAACTGTTTTTTCAGTGAGGTAATATTAACCTTAGGTCATTCTAAGACCGTGTTGGAATTCCTATCTGCTGCAAAGGAGAAAAAACGATCATTTCGGGTTGTTGCTGCTGAGGGTGCTCCAAGGTTTGTACACAAGTCTGCCTACTTTTTACAATTTAAAGCAATAGAACAAGCAATTTTTTACATTGGATTGACATATTGTCTATTGCAATTTTTATCTTCTTGTTGCTATTGTCATTGATCAGGTACCAAGGGCATGTTCTTGCAAAAGAGTTGGTCAAAAGGGGTGTGCAGAGTACTGTAGTTACCGATTCTGCAGTGTTTGCCATGATTTCTCGAGTAAACATGGTAATTATGAAATTTGACTTCTTTTCACTACTATTACAGATAACGTGGATCACATAAACTGTCATAACTTGAAACTTCTCATGAAGGTGATAGTTGGTGTTCATGCTGTGATGGCCAATGGTGGGGTCATAGCACCTGTTGGGATGAGGATGGTTGCACTTGCTGCTCGCAATTATGCTGTTCCGTTAGTTGTGGTTGCCGGAACCCACAAGGTATTCCATCAGAAAATAAAAATTATATAAATCCAGTAAATGTATGGGTTATGCAACAAAACTTTTGAAACTTTAAAGTTTTCAACTTGGTCATAGCAGCTTCACCTAATTCTTATGAACTCTTCAAAGATGAGGGTAAGTTTGAAGATGATGCAGGGTATGCAAACAAGGAAATGCATAAATCTAAAATTTTGCATGGAGCACATTTAGGACACTAAAATAAAACCTGGTATCTGTTACCTTGAATACAGTTTGTTTTGGTATGAGGAACGGGAATGGGAATGTGATACACCACATGTTCTAAAATGTGATACGATAGGGGTAAACTTCTTAATTTGACATCCAGTATATTATAGTGTATTTTTCTGCAAATTAATTGTTCAGCATTATGACCCATTGTTCTTCCATTCTGTCAATCCAACTCCACTCCATCTAGATTTTAGTGCATTATGTTTGTCTTTTTCCCTATTAAGGAGAACGTCTAATAAAAAAACAAGAAAATATTGTGGGATTGCTTTGGATCGACAAATTCACTGTTTGGGAGCAAAAGTGTACCATGTTTCATGACGTGTGTTCCAAAATGTAAATTGCTAGGGTGTTAGCGTTTTTGGGTAACAATTGAATTTTGTAATAAGGCAATAAAGTTGAATATAGAGAGATAATACAAATAGAAAAGAGAAAAGTAAGAATACAAAGGTTTAACGTGGTTCAGTCAACATTGGCCTACATCCACACACACAAAGCCCTGAAGGGTTACATCTTTCATTCACTCAACTTGATACTCTTGTTTACATGATACACCATATGTATAAAGTGAGAGATACAATCAAATTCCTTCAGTTAAGGAATTGAAATAAATTAAGGATACAAAAGATCATAATAAGTATAAATCATGGGATTTTCATATATTCTAATATCTTTCATTTCTTTTGATATCTTTGATGATATAATCTTATCTCCAACAAACATTAGAATTTCTAGTTTCATTCATTTTTTCTTTTCTTTTCTTGATCTGCCTTCATGTACTCCAGTAGATCACTTTCTTTCATTTTGCTTTACTTATCACAAGGAGAAAAAAAAAGGTGACCAAAATCTACTCTGCTGGATATGTTCCAAGGACTTGCAGATGCAGGAAACTGCAATAGACACACTCCTAGTAGAATTGGAAGTCATGCAGCCAACAAGTATCAAACTATCTTTGTAATAATAATTTAATAAATATGGTTTTCAGGATCTCTTAGAATCTTTTGAAGCTGTGGCATGACACCTAATGCAGATTAAGCTTAGAAGGTGATTCCTAAAGAATTCTAGGTGGGTTCCTAGTTTCTTCCCTTTTCTTGCTAGCTTCTTCTATTTCACATGGAGAGCAAAGTTGCTGTCCACCGGGAACTGTTCAAAGCGTAGCCCTTATTTCCATCGCCAAAAGGTCCAAAAGCCTCATCTAATTAGTCTAATCATCTCTACCATTGACGTTTAATTTAGCACTGCAAACCAAAAATACATCCTTTCTAGAATTTATCACAACTAATTCTCTGCAATTCCTGCAACCCAACCTGCGAAATCAAATCAATACTAAATCCTTTTCATCTAGAAACCCTAGGACTTTTTCCTCTGTTTCAAATTTTCATCCCACAAGCTTTCACAATCTTATTTTGGGGAGAAAAAAGTGCTACACACTTCTTACAAGAACTCTTATGAAGACCTGTGCAGATTTGTTTCCCTATGTTTGAGGAGCTTATTGTGCTGAAGCCTAAAGATACTCAGCTATTGTTAGGCTTTACATCCCTTGCATTTTTTTACTATGAGAAAATGACTATGAGAGAGAATATGCAGTCTTCAACTGTGAAAATTGATGGTTCTGCGGGCTTAGTATATTCTGCGCTATTTCTTTCTTTGCATAATTTAGTCATGAATTTGATATTTTACCTATCTGACACTTTCCTTATATTTTTCAATTGCCTTGTTTATGCGAAAGTTGTGTCCCTTGTACCCACACAATCCAGAGGTCTTGCTGAATGACATGAGATGCCCATCTGAACTGGTCGATTTTGGCGAATTCTCCAATTGCATGGATTTTGGAATTGACAGTGGTGCTCCTCTTCTTCACATCGTCAATCCCGCATTCGATTATGTTCCTCCAGAGCTCATCAGTCTTTTCATCACTGACATGTAAGGCTATCTTCTGTGTGCATTTTATTTATTTAAATAAATTTCTTTGTACAAGTAGCACTAGTTATTTCCAATCTCATGTTTTTTGAACAAATACAATATATTTTAATCAACAATTCGTGGTTTAAGCAAAATATGATACTTTCACAACTTGACCCATTTAAGAAACCATTTCTTTTCAATGGAACCTGTGAGACATATTTGCTTCTTTTACAACTTATCCAACTTGGGAAACCACAACCTCCGTGTTCAGCAATCAGAACCGTCTTGTCAATGATACTGCATTGGAATTCCTTGCGACTCAGGGGAGTGGTATAGGACTATAATGTGCTTCTACACAATTCAACAGAATTTTTTTGTTAAAAAGGGAAAACATTCATAGTTTATTGTTTATCCTACTAATTTGGTTCGTATTCTCTATATACCTATGATGTTTTTGACAGTTTAGCAATTATTTGATAATATTTTGAACATTAGATACAACAATATTCTGATCATTGTCTACTTTATTCACAGAGGCGGACATAACCCATCATATATTCATCGGCTCATTGCTGATTACTACTCTGCTGATGATTTGGTGTTATAACAGGAGTCTATGAATTAAAGGTGAATTTCTTACTCATATGCTGACTTTTATTGGACTAGTTTATGCTTTTGATTTCATTTTTAGATTCGGAATCAAAGTGAATTTTTGTTAATTACTTTTCATCTGTTCCTTAAACATTGTAATTAACTAGAAATTGAGTCTTTTTGTGCATGGAATGAAAGAAATACTATTGACGAAACAATTTTTAGTAAATATTATGGGGGATTTATCATGTTTGTATTTACACATATAAATTTTTTTTATTTTACAGGTCAATTTAGATAAAATTATAAATTGATCTATAATTACTAGCAAGTATTAACTAACTATCCAACTTGGCGACAATAACTTCGGATTGTGAATGAGAGGGATGACTCATTTTCATACCACTATCTTCATATTTTTTCATACTTTATTTTGTCAGTCCTACAATAATGATTCAAACTGTTTATCTCGTAACTTGTAATGAAGACCTACAATAATGATTCAAACTGTTTATCTCGTAACTTGTAATGAAGACCGTTTGCACAAAAAAGTATCTTCTTCGGATATCAATGAGTAGATGAATAAATTACATTTTATAAGATGTCGGTTTAAGTTTAAATTCATAATTGTCCATTCCAAAAAAATAAAATGTAATTTATTTGCGCAACTCGTTTTATTGTTGGGCCTACTAGATGAATGGTTTTGATCATTATTGTGGACTTGAATGTGACTAATGAAATAAAGTATGGAGAATAGTGATATGGAGGAGAGCCATCATGGATACAACTTGAGAGCACCCAATTGGAATTCAATCTATAATTTTTTTCTTCTTTGAGCATGGTTAGTATAATTTTATTTGGGTCTGGATTCAAATATTTCACCCCAAACTAAATTTGATCTAAACTTAGATACAATTCTCACAAATTAAATACCTTGAATTCTATTATTAATAATATACCTACAATAGTGGACATCTCTCTAATTATTGAAAGTGAATTTGTTTTATATATATATATATATATATATTGTATTAGGGGTTGTTTGGGATGTCCTAAATAAGTGCACTTTTTGACTTTTTGGACTAAAAAGCTGAGGAAAAAAATATGATTGTTTGGGTTAATTTTTTGACTTTTTATGGAAAAATGTGTATTAAAAAATTGTACAAATTAGTGTGTAGAGAAAAATTAAGATTGAGAGTTATGCAGTTGTAATTTTTGACTTTTGATGAATAGTAATAATTTTTTAATTTTTTGAATAACTTTTTGACTTTTTGGCCATATGCCAAACAAGTCAAAATCTTTGAGATAAACTTAGGCTCAGACTTGAGCTAAGTTTGGACAAATCTCTTCACACTTGGGGGTTTGTATGTTAGTTGTTTCTTAATATAAATGTTTTTCATATTCTCAAAAAGACCGAGTTTTATTTAATAGATCCTGACTAAACTTGACTAAGTTGTAGTTCTACTTGCATTAGAACTCCTTTAGACTTTGGATAAGCTTTTTCTTTAGTACAAAAATTATTTACTTTTTAATTTTTAAATTGCAACTTTTTTTTTTTTTTTGGAGTTAAATAGCCAAAAATTCCACACTAAAAGCCCATGATAAAGAAGAATTGAATTGTAATTGGAAAAATACCCCAATAGAGTGAAAACATTTGCAAAAGGAGTGCCTTAGAGCATCCTTTTAGCAAATTTCTTAAAATTTTATCTTAAAATATTATTAAAAAATTCATTCTCTATTTTAGGAATCAATTTTTCATTTACTTTCTCCAACAAACTCCCAGTGCATTCTCTATTCTATTAAAATATTATTTTTAATTATTTTATATCTTATATTTTGGGGATGGAGGTGCTCGAGATCAATGATGATGGTTGAATAAAGAGTAATTTTTTAGTATTTAGGCGTGAATAGTGGCTCCCTACATTTAGTGCTCAACTTATAATTTGGACAAGTTCAAGGGAATTGATAGGGTTGGTTTTATGAGAACCACACGCCCCCTCCCTTCTCACAAAATAGCTAAAAAAATGAAGAAAATGGATCCAATGGGGATGTTCTTAGAGCATCTTTAGTAGATTTTCTAAAATATTATTAAAAAATTTATTCCGTATTTCAAGAATTACTTTTTCATCTACTTTCTCCAACAAACTCTCTATTCTTTCTCTATTGTATTAAAATATTATTTTTAATTATTTTATATTTTATATTTTTGGGATGGAGGTGCTCGAGATCAATGATGATGGTTGAATAAAGAGTAATTTTTTAGTATTTAGGCGTGAATAGTGGCTCCCTACATTTAGTGCTCAACTTATAATTTGGACAAGTTCAAGGGAATTGATAGGGTTGGTTTTATGAGAACCACACGCCCCCTCCCTTCTCACAAAATAGCTAAAAAAATGAAGAAAATGGTTTTTGGTAAATAGGAGTTCAAAGAAATTGAAGGTCCAAAGAAATTAGATAAATACTAATAGCAGCCCTATATTAAGATTTAAAATTACATATGTGCTAATAGTAACCCTCTAATAAAAATTGTCATGATATCTATTTTAATTTCTTTATTTATTTTTTATTTTTAAGATGGGGAATACCTATTTTAACCTTAATAATCCAAACCCAAAATAACAACCCATATCCATTGTAAGAGCATCCTCAGCAAATTTCTTAAAAATTTACTCTAAAATATCATTGAAAAATTTATTTCCTATTTTAATAATCACTTTTTCATGTACTTTTTTCAACGTATTCTCTATTCTTTCTCTATTTCATTAAAATAATATTTTTAATTATTTTATATTTTACATTTTTGGGATGGAGGTGCTCGAGATCAATGATGATGAAGGGGTGTAAATTTAGCCCGGTCCAACTCATATTGAGCTTCACTGGCTCCAGCCAAAATTCGGACCGGGCTTGGCTGGCCCACAGGCCAAAAAAATAGGCTTACGCCCTAACCCAGGCCCAAAGGTGTTCGAGCCTTGAGTGGGTCGGTAGGCTAGGCCTTTTTTTTTTTTTGGTAAATTTTTTCTACTAAAATTTTATTATTGTTCATTAAAAAAGACATTGGGCCTCAGGCCGGGCCACAGGCTGTGCCCACGGGCCGGTTCGGGTTTCAAAGTGATGGCCCGGGCTAAGGGCCTGAGCTGGGCTCAAGCACGGGCCCAAATGGGCCTAAATAGGCCCGGCCCACCCTGAGTCGGGGTCGACTTTGGGCTGTCCATGGGTCATTTTTACACTCCTCGATGATGGTTGAATAAAGAGAATTTTTTTTTTTTTAAAATTTTTTAGGGGCGAGCAATAACTCACTCCACTTAGAAGCAACTGTTGCTCAACTTATAATAGGAGCTGGTTTAAGGAATTTGTTGGATTGATTTTATGAGAAATTTTTTTCTAAAATAGCTAAAAAATGAAGATAAAGAATCCAATGCGATGCTCTTAGGCTTTTCGGGGCTTTAGCTAGATTTGCCCCATTCTACATATGAAATGAAACTCTTATTTGAGTAATAAAAAAGTAGACTAGGGCTTAGCGTTAGCCCATCCTAGTCGGCCTTCCCAAAAAAATCAAGTTGAACAAGGTTTGGGCCCATACCAATCCAAGTCTTAAGGCCGGTCTTAAGGTCAGAGACGCTCTAGTGTGGTTCTCTTTGAACCACACAAAAAAAATAAAAAAATAAAAGTCCTCTTGTGCCCTGCACTAAATTATATTATAAAAAATTATAAATATATATATACATGTTAGCATAATGAGGTGAAGAAGTATGTGCTCACTTGCTGATATTTATATTACTATTTTCACTAGAAGTGGACTCCATTATATTAATATGTACATTTTTAATATGTTTTATAATTTAATTTTATGCATTTCAAGTAACATTGATTCTATCTATAGAATCTAACTAGTCTCGTTAGTAGTAATGCTTTAGGATATGAGATTGAACCCTACCTTCATTTGAAGATAGGGAGGTGGGAGACCACGTTGGGTCATTTTGTCTAGTTCATTCTTTTTTGGGTGATCTCATTGATTGAAAGCATCATGTGTTGATCTTGTCCACGTTATGATGTTATGAAATTAGAATGGGGCAAATCTAGGGTTGCAAATGAACCGAGTCGAGTCGAGTCGAGTCAAGTTTTGCTAAGCTCAAGTTCGGTTCGTTTACTTATCGAGCTCGTTTATTGAGTTCGAGCTTAGCTCGATAAAAAATTGGGTTCGAGCTCGGTTCGGCTCAGCTCAGCTCAGCTCATTAATATTAATAAAACTCGAACTCAACTCGGTTCGGTTCGACTCTGCTCGATAATTTTTTTTAATATTATTTATATTATTTAATATATAAATAATGTATTTATAAATAATATATTTATTATATAATTTAAATAAAGATAAATAAATCAAACTTGACGAACCAAACTCATGCAAGCTCGAACTCAGTTCGTTTAGTAAACGAGCCTAATATTTGAGCTCAAATTTAACTCGTTTACTAAACGAACCAAGCCCTTAATGAGCTGAGTCGAGCTTGTTCATGAACAGTTCGGTTTGTTTGCAATCCTAATTTTGACATACAATTTTACTTGTTTTTTTTTTATGCAATATGGGTCCTAATCTAGGGGATGAGAGAGTATTGTCTATGACAAGATTTAAACCCTTAACTTTCTAATAAGATGGAAAGAAAATGATATAAAATTCTATTTTTTAGACCTATGGATGTGTAATAGAAATGATTTGTTGATGATTAGAAGAGAGAGAGAGAGAGACAGAGAGAGAGAGAGAGAGAGCCCTCCCTTCTCAGCACTCCACTAGCCATGAAAACATGTTGAGAAGAGAGAGAGAGGGGTTGTCACATTATTGAGTTTAAAAAGTAAATTTAATTTTTAAATTAGAATAATACACTCTGAGATAAAAATGTTCTAATAACTAAACTAGTTTGAGATGATTACAGTTTTAGTTTCTTTGCGTCTTTAAATTGTCAAGTTTTGTTTTGTTAGTTAATGTGCTATACTATTACACAAAAGAAACATGATGGTGAATGTTTTGTTTGTTTTGTTTTGTTAGTTAATCTTGCGTCTTTAAATACAATTCACCTATATATTTATAAATATAAACATTGTCATTGACTTTACACAAAAGAAACAAACCCTAGATAACCATGATGGTGAACATGATGTTCAATTTTCTTGTAAAAGTTTGTACATAGTGGTCTTTTACAACATTGCGGTTTTGATCAGCCCTTTGATTTGTCATTT